ATCTTGCCTCTATTTAAGAGCAAAACCAAAGCAATTTCTGGGCCTCCTAAATGAGGTTGCAAATATATCACCACACTGTCTTGAAACACACAATTTTGTCTGATTTTAAAAACTAAGCAGGATTATGCCTGATTGTTAACTTGAATGGGAGACCATACAGGGATACCAATGATCTCCAGTTAGAATTTTGAAAGAATCTTCTCTGAAACTCTGAAGAACTGTTGCAAGTAGGAGTTAATAATATTGGGCTAGATGGCTAAATATCAGAATCTAGGCTGGAAATCTTGAGTACTTCTTGCCTCCTAGAAGATGTGTGCACAAGAACAATATTGTAAGTGGCAGTGTTCTGCTACCTTTAAATGAGTAAACAAACATACAAAAGCATGCAAAACCTTGATGTTAAGAATTGTAACACCTAAGGAGGCAAAAAAAAAAAACATAAAGAAAATTTCTTGGTCATAGCCCCTTTCCTCTGGAACATGTTTCTGACAGAGGTTTGCCAGGTATCCCTCTCGGTTTTTAGGAAGCTAATTACTGCTGAATTATACAAACAAGTCTGATCAGTTAGATGTGTGAATCTCACTGTGGAAGGGGAAATGGGTCAATTATAGGATTATATGCATTCCCTTTAACCTCTAGTTTGATCCCTAAAAGTGAGTTGATAAGCACAATTACAAACTCTCTGTTCTGAACATGGTACCTTGTTAAAATTTTGCTGGAGTGCTTTTTGAAAGTTGTACATTTGTTCTACTGAAGTAACTGATATTCCTTCTAGCTGTAGTTCTGGAAATCTGACACCAGATCACAGTGTTTCAGGGCAAGCTGCAGGATGGGAGCATAGAAAACTTGTTATGAAATGAATTTTGGGAGTTGGGTATATCCAGTTTTCTGCGTCAAATTCAGCAACAAAATTTTCCTGTGAATCTCCTAGAATCCTAAAACTTCCCACTGTGGCAACACTAATGGGGTGGTATAGAAATGGAAACAAACACACAAAATCTGTATGAACATGTTATAGTGCCTCAATACAAGTTTGCTGTGTATTCTCTGAAGAGTTTGATGGATGGAATTTGATTTTAGGGGGCTTTAAAGTCCTACTGTGGATACTCAAAATCACATAAAACTTATATGAAGAAGTTAAAATTATTGGCCATTAAAATAAGCTTTGCTTTTTTTGTCCTTTAAAAATGTTTGGTGAATAGACATTGACACAGGGCAGCTATATTGACCATAAAAGAACATTCATATTGCTGCAATATATTTTATTAAGTCAATCCAGAGGGTACAACAATGTGTACAAACTTTCAAGATCCACAGATCTCCATGTCAGGCAACATGGAGGGGAAAGAAAAGGGACTGGCAAAGAAAAGAAAAAAATAAAAAACTTTTTTTGCTCTTATCGTTTTTTTTTAGCCCCATCACATTTTGATACGTTCTGAAGAGCCAGCAGATAGTTAGTAGTGGCTCTAATGTAGGTAATGCAGTCATGTTTGTTTTTGTCCAGGGTAGTTAATGTTACCAGAACACAGAAGAGTCTCAACTTCAGTTTTTGTAAATATAAAAACTTGATGCAGGCTAATCTGCCGCCTATACTTTGTGAATGGAGAATAGACAACAGTAACACAATTGTTTTATTTGCAAAGCTGGAGATAATTTTAGATGTTGCACTAAGTTAAAAAGAAATCAGTAACAGCCAAATTGGGTAGTTTTTACCTCATGATTGGCCAGAGATTATCCTTCAGTGAGTAAAAGTGCCAGCTTCAGGTGGCATAAATTATTCTTCCTCTTCCTAGGGTGTCATTGCTTCTTGTCTCAGTTATTGCTTCTTGTCTTAGGCTATAATGATGAACACATTCACTAGGAAATACATCCCACTGAACTTAATGGGATGTCTTTCTGAGACAATCTTTCATGGGATTGTGCTGTTATTAGCTTTGACCAGACATGGGCAAAGTGTGGCCCTCTGGATGTTGAGAGAGCAGAGCCTCCATCAGCCATAGCCAGCATTGGCAGTAGTGAGGAATGCTGGGAGTTTCAATCCACCAGTGTCTTGTTGACCACAGAGTGCCCTATCTTGACTTTGCAAAATAAATTGGCCAGGAGTTAAACTCTTGTTCCTTCGTGTACATGTTGGAATTTGTGGGTGCATACTATTTGCTTCCACCTGCATGTGTCATGTGTCCTTCAGTCTGAATTGTCTGCTTGATCCTCAGGAGCAGTTTCTGTGGCATGGTTGGCAGCCATAGTGGGAAGGGGTACACATGAGCTCTTTTTGATGCCAGATACAAAGAGAAAGAAAAAAACAGAGAGGAGAGCAGAAGAAGCCATGACTGATCGTGTGTTCTGAACCAATAGCTGACACTTATGTGGACTGATCTCAGTAGGTGTGTCAGATCAAGGATTTTATAGAATTTTATAGATCTATGAGGAAATATCAAAAGCCTGTGTTCATCACAGCTGGCATTTATACCAAAAAAAGGGTTAATTCCATAATGAAACCAGACAGTAATTGACAGTCATACCAGAATTTATTTGTGTATCAAGGTATAATTGTTTTCATGGTTACAGTCATACCAGAATTTATTTGTGTATCAAAGTATAAGTTTTTTCATGGTTACAATAATTCCAGGCAACTTCAGTTTATCTAATTCTACAAACTTTATATATCTACATTGCTTCTATATTCCTTAAGAAGAAAAATAAAATTCCAAATATTCAAAACATCCCAAAGTTTTACAGTTATGAAAAAAATGTAGGCATTTTTAAACAAATATGTTTTAAACAAACATGTTAAACAAATATGAAAACTAAACTTAGATTGCAGGTAAATGCTTAAATCAGAATTCAGTCCAGAGTAGAGGAGCCAAAAATAATGTTTTAGTTGCATTCTAAAATGCAGGAGCTTATAGTCTAAAATGGCACATTGAAATTGCAAAGAGTACTTCACCAAAATATATCATTTAAAAGTAAAAATAAAAAGCCTTTGAGCATATTAAAAATATATACACAGACAATTGCTCAGTGAATCTATGGAGGAAAATCCATGTTGATTGCTGTTGCTATCCAGTGTGAGTGGTGTAGTCTGAAGCTGCCATTTTGACATTAGCATCATTGTTACTAAATTCTTTATAAACTGTAGAGGAATAAGATTCTGTCTCATACAGTATTTGGAATCCTAGAATTCTGGAAAGCCAAAATTTTGTAGTGATAAAGAGTGCAAACAGTAAATGCCAACTCTATATTTACAAATTGTAACAAACAAAGTCAACTGTCAGGAATTTTATTGTTCAGTGACCTTCCTTGGCTGGAGAGCTGGCTAACTGTTTTGAAATGACTATAGTAAACTATTGTTCAAGCCTCAATTTTAAAAGCACTTTGATTTTCAAGGCTACTTTTTTACACCGTTCCTTAATTTTTTAAACACTTGTGTGCACAAAATGTCAAACTTTGACAAGTGCATGCTATTCCAACCCACAGCTTCTCTTGTATGCACCATCCTGTTTTCTTTGAATTGTCCTTGTGTGGCACAAGGGAATTAATTGTTAAATTGCAAAATAGATATGTACCGCATCACTTCATCTGTTTAAAGGGTGCTTGAAGATTATCTGTTCTGTATTAGTGCCTAGTAACCTAATGCTGTCTTGGAGACATAGAATCTCTCCCTCTTGATTTTTTTTATACCTAAAGTTATTTGTTATGCATTTTTGCCAGGATTAGTATTGCATTCCTTCAGTTGTATTTAGTAATGCCAGTGATTTCCTTTGTACTTTGTCACTAAAAAATAAATCCTAAAGAAACACCTAATCTGCTGCTCTGATTTAGCTTCTTAGAGTGATCACATTTTTAAAAAATGTACTCTTTCTCATTTAAAAAAAACTTGTTGCATAGTGAGGCCTATATTTTTAAAAATTGGTTTTTAAAATGCTGTTTAGTTTTGCTGGCTACTTTCTCCTCCCCAAACTCAGCTGTATCCATATGCTTTTTAGCTTACGTTTTAAATATTTATTTTACAGTAGCAGAAATGTATGTGAAAAACTTCATAGAAATTATAGTTTACAACGATTGTTTGCCAGGTGCTTTAGCGCTGATTGATACTAATGCTCAAATATAGATTTGTCTTTCCCTTACATATTAAAGTTATTTTTCCATTTCACACTATTCCTTGCTTATCCTCAAACTGCCAGGTATTGTAATGAGCCTGATATTAGTTCATACAGCAGAATGCACAAATTGAGTGAGTTGGCAGTACCTGGAGATTACATCTGTAAATACAGGATGTCATTTGTAGAATATGTCAGGATTTTATATGTCCTTGACTTTGGGCATTTAATGTTACAGACTATAGGCTGACAAGATGTGAGCCTGTTGCCATATGTGGCTTGCCCAACGCTGTTTTAGCAGGACTCCCACACTCCTCAGTCCATTGTTTTCCAGGAGAAAAAAAAAGTTACATTGCAGCTATGGGAAGCCTTCAGAAGTTACAGTTCACCTTTTAAATAAGTCACAGGGGGCAAATAAATTTAATTAAAATTCGTGAGTACCCATTTTTCAATACTAGAACTGGCCTCTCGTTTGCTTCTGGTATCATTTTTGCAGGATTATTGTAGACATGGTCAGTGTAGCTCTCAGGGTAAAAATTTTGCTCCTGGACTCACCAAAGTTACCCACTCCTATTATTGATCAGTTCTACTCATAATTACTTGAAAGTAAGGCATACGTATTTCAGTTAAATCTTCATGTTTAGTTTTTGATTGCATGGATTCCAAATAATAGTATTCACTTGCTGCCTGTGTCCTGAATTTTCATGGTTAACAGAAACTTCTTTCCTTAATCTCTATCTGTTTCATATTCCATAGACAATTATGCAAACCACAAATGTTTTTATAAATATCAGTATATAAAATGTTTGAACCAATATGATAAGGATGATCTTACTGCTAGAAAACGTAGTACTCAAGAAATAATCTAAGAGATTCTGTTATTTTTTAAACAATTTACAGGTCTGACTGGAAAAATTGTGACATCAATACTTAATGGAGGATTTGAAATCTCAGCCTTGCAAATGGTAACTATTCTTTCTGTTTTGTTCTTGTCTAGTGAAATAGTGGAGTGGAAAGAGAAAATCCTGTCTCTGCATTCCTTGCTTTATCTTTTGGACATTTATCCTTTTCATCTTGCAAAGTAGATGCAAGATGAAAACATAGTATCTAACATACGAGGGGATGCTGGTAAGTATTGAGCCTTTCCCAGAAAAAAATTGAGTTAGGAAGCTGTAACTGCCACACTATTCTACATATTTCCCCGGGGAGTCAATGCACTTGCGAAATCTTTCCTGCAGCTTCTAAGTCCCTGCAAATAAAATTCTTCCGACTGCTGGTGTAACCACCCATTTGCAGCATTAGTTGCCTCCAGAACACTCCCAAATCGTTGTCCCTTTAGGTGTTTTTTTGAGTTTGGGGAACAGATAATAGTCAGAAGGAGCCAGGTCGGGAGGCTAGGGTGGATGGGGCATCACTTGAAAGCCTAAGGAGGTCAGTTTTGCCATTGTTTCACCTGCAGTGTGTGACGAGGTGCTGTCATGCGACAGGATGACACTCATTAGTTGCCTCCAGAACACTCCCAAATCGTTGTCCCTTTAGGTGTTTTTTTGAGTTTGGGGAACAGATAATAGTCAGAAGGAGCCAGGTCGGGAGGCTAGGGTGGATGGGGCATCACTTGAAAGCCTAAGGAGGTCAGTTTTGCCATTGTTTCACCTGCAGTGTGTGACGAGGTGCTGTCATGCGACAGGATGACACTTTTAGAGAGCTTTGCTCGACATTTTTCCTTGATGTTTTGCCTCAACTTTGTCAATAAAGCACAGTAATATTTTGCATTGATGGTTGAACCCTGTTGGAGGTAGTCCACCAGCAGAACTCCCTTCTTATCCAAAAAACTGTTGCCATTTGCTTTTGCACCGACCTTTGCACTTGGAACCTCCTTGGCCTGGAGGAAACACTGTGCCTCCATTCCTTAGACTGTTCATTTGTCTCAAGATCATAACAGTAGATCCATGTCTCATCACCAGTTACCAGTTTGCCCAGAAAAACTGACTCATTTCTTGCAAAATGTTCCAAAACAGCTACCGATGACTCCATACGTTTCCTCTTTTGTTCGGTTGTCAAAAGTTTGGGGATCCACTTTGCTGCCAGCTTTCTCATTTCCAAGTAGTTGTGGATAATGGGACCAACTCTCTCACATGATAGTCTCAGATATATAGCAATACTTTTGGCTGATATTCAGTGATCCTCCATGATCATGTCATGGATGGCTTTCACATTTGCAGGCACAGAGACAGAAACAAATTGGCCAATACACCCTGCAATTTATAGCTTCCTAGCTCAATGTTTTCTGGGAAAGGCTCAATGCTTGTCAGCACCCCCTCGTATGATCATGCCACTCACACCTTACCTAATTTAATGTTATATTGGGTTCCTTATCCATTCACCTGCAACTCCTTAAGTAGTATGTCAAAGACTTTTTCAGCTCTGTTACATTGACATGGGCAGATTTTTGCCTTGTTAGATCTACTCTCCCCTTTGGAACCCCAGTACCCATAAACTAGAGGCATATAAAGAAAGCATCCATTTAGAGCAATGGTGCTCAATCTTGGGTCTAGAGATGTTGTTGGAGTACAACTCTCAGAAATCCTGCAATACAACTAATGGTGAAAGCCTTTATGAGTTTTAGTACAGGAACATCTGGGGACCCAAGATTGGGGACCACTGTTATAGAGTTAAAGAGCAGGATGCCTCTGAGAATATTCTGAGCTTCAAATGTTTGTTTTTGCTATCACAACTGAACTGAGTTCACAGGCCTTTCAACACAGTTCCACTACTAGTTACCTCTAAAGATAAAGGTTCCCCTTGACATTTAGTTCAGTCATGTTCGACTCTACAGCGCGGTGCTCATCCCTGTTTCCAATCCATAGAGTGGCCAGCACGACTAGACACAGAATGACGTTACCTTCCCACTGAAGTGGTACCTATTTATCTACTTGCATTTTTATATGCTTTCGAACTGCTAGGTTGGCAGGAGCTGGGACAAGCAATGGAAGCTCACTCCGTTGCGTGGATCCGATCTCACCTTGCAGCACAGAGGCTTCTGCAGTTTAACCTGCAGCGCCACCATGTCCCTCGACTTCTAAGCTGTCTTTATTTCAGCAGCCTAATTTAAATGGGTAAATTGGTCTCATTACTTTTAAACAAGTGGGAGAGCAGAACCCCTTGCTAATCTGATGCAAATCTGAAAAGATCAACTAGTTGATTCAGATTCTGCATTTTCCCTGTCACTGCACTATACTTTTTGAATAGCATTGTTGGGGAAGAGAGCCCAATACTTGGGAGCAATCGCCATTCAGTCAATTGAATACAAATTGATTGGCTCAGATTGTAAACAGTATGCCTTCAGAAAAATCATGCTGCTTCTCCTGACAAAAGAGGGGATTGAGAGTTACTTCTTTGCTTCTTTTCCATGCATATTGAATATATACAGTCCGCATACTTGCTGCCTTAGTATCTCTGTAACTGCAGTAGTTTGGAACAGGTGGCTGAATGATACCTTATTCTGTCCAATTTGAATGTCAGTTTAAATTTGAGCTCTCACCTGGACTAGCCATAGCAATTTGGCCTTACCAGTTCTTCATCTGTAAAATGGGAATAACTCTTACCATGAGTCTTGCATAGTTTATAATTACGTTGTGCTATGTATGTACTTTGCTATTTATATGATCTGTTAATACTGTCTACTCATTTACTATTTTTTTCTATAAATAGTTTACACTTTATGTTTCTGCTCATGACAAGAGTGTGAAAGATATCGTAAGACTACAGTGGGGTCTCTACTTAAGAACGTCCCTACTTAAGAACAATCCAACTTAAGAACAGCTCAATTTGCTAAATTTTGCTTCTACTTGAGAACAGAAATCCAAGATAAGAACAGGAAAAAAAACCTTTCCTGCTCTTTTTTTAACCTTAGGTCATCTTAGGTTAAAAAAAATTCTCCCCCCCCAGTGGTAGAGTACGTATTAACCAGCTTTGCATTAGTTCCTATGGGAACTAATGCTTCAATGTACGAACACACCTCTACATAACAAAAAAACAGCCAGAAGGGATTAATTGGTTTTCAGTCCATTCCTATGGGAAATTTTGCTTCAACTTAAGAACGTTTCAACTTAAGAACACCATTCCAAAACCGATTAAGTTCTTAAGTAGAGGTTCCACTGTAGTTTCTATGGACGGAAAAGAGCAGATACGGATTAAATGGTTTTCAATGCATTCCTATGGGAAATGCAGATTCAACATAAGAACTTTTCAACTTGAGAACCACCTTCCAATACGGATTAAGTTCTTAAGTAGAGACCCCACTGTATAGTAGAGATCTTAAAATGTTAAGATATCTTAATATTTTAATTTTTAAATTTTAATTTTTTTACCTATATTCTATATGCCGATAATTTTAAACTGTATAATGGTAGCATACAAACAAAGACAAACAGTAGAGATTGTTTGAAAAAAATTACAGTCAATGGAAATATAAAACAACAAAATAAGTACTATATAGTTACCACACCTTTTGTTCTGGTTCATGTCTGGAAATTCAGCAATGATAAGTGTGATCTTGCTAGCTGATTGCTTTTTTTGTTTGTTTATATATATATATTTGATTTGTACCCCACCTATCTGGACTACCAGACCACTCTAGGCGGCTATATGCATTGTATTAGCCCATGAAGGATTATATGTAAATGAGTGAAACATACTGAGATTGTGCATGTACAGAAAAAGAGAAATTGCAAAGTTTAGAGTGTTACCTTGTTTTATTCAGCATTATTACTTCTAAGTATTCTTTCTAAAACATCTATAAATTGCCTTTTTGTTCCAAAATGACACTTTCTCTTTGTTTTTTATTTGCAGTTCTATATGGACCGTGCAAATGCAGAGGAATTCTACGCCATTTACAAAGGCGTTGTAGCTGAGTATTCTGTAAGTAAGCCTCATAAATTCTCTCTTTCCTTGAGCTGCCCTTTGATTCTCATTTTTTATAGTTCAGTTGACCAATCTGAGTAATTTTAATATAGTAGGGAGAAACCATATACAGAATGGCCATAGGCATCCTTCAGTCTTGAGAGACTATGGTAACATGCACTGAATGGAGGTGTGTCCTCACCAGAGCATGAAGCCTGGGTAAAGTAATATGGAGGATAGGCTGTTACCCAAGCAGCAGA